TGCTTGAGGAGTGAGCTGGCAGTGAGAGTGGAGGCGCAGGCAGATTCCTACAGGAGAAAGTTCCCCCTTTTTCTGTTCATAAATGATGGAGCTGCTCCAAAGAGTGGGGAAGACAATAGTACATGAGCATGGTCTGCCCCATGTCCTCCTAGGGATTATTTAGAGTAGATTTCTACTATTTCCTCCTGAAAAGAAAATCTTATTGGCCATAAGTTTTAACTGGCACTAAGTCGGCGGGGTGATCTGAGGCATTAAATGACCTTATTTGCCAGGGCAGATCTGAGGAGCCCTTATCTGCAAGGCCCCTTGGAACAGCTTGCCCTTGCCAGCCTGGTGTGGGCATCATGGGGAATTTCATGCCACTCAGGGATGCCAAGCAAACCTGGCCTTTACTGCCAGCATCGATGGGAGTGCAGGAACTTGGCTACACCCAAAAGCTGCCACCTTCCCAGGGGCATCATTTCAAGTCCATGGGCTACAGGGAGCTGTACTCCTAGCCTCTGCCTTCAGGTGGGGAAAGCTGGCATCATGGATATGGTGGAAAAGGCCGTTCTGAGCAACAGTTTCCAAAGGGGGCTGAGTAATTATTTCACTCAGATAAGCCCAGGAACATTGTGTGAAGCTGTGTGCACACAGCAATAGTAGAGCACTATGAGCAAGGGAATTCGGAGCTGTCAGCAAGGAGGGAAATACCACTTGGGGGGATGGAAAACATCATAAAAAATTCCTGGCTCCCAGCCTAGTCCATCCCTTCACCGGCTGTGCTTGCAGTTGTGTGTTTTTGCTTTGGGGATGGAGTCACAAGGAGGGATTTTCCCCCTTTGCTGCAACACATGGGCAAAAAAGCACATCTTAACCTGGACTAGTGAGGGCTGAGCTTTTGGCCACCCAAAGCCCACCTGGTTTTGCAAGGTTGTGCTGGCTCTTCTCTGTCGAGCCTTTGGTTCACTTTGTCACGGGGGCTGATGCAACAGCTGTAGCACAAGCCCAGCAAGATGTGTGCATGCAAGTTGTGCTGCTGACATTGAGTTTTAAGTTGTGGGCGTCCCAGGCCATGAGAGTCCAATTCCCCAAACTCAGAGGAGAACCAGCCAGGAAATGTGGGGTTAAGATGACACTTCCCACATGGCCCTGCTGCATAACCTTGATTCTGCTCCCCTGGGAATGGCGATAGGAACTGGAACAGGATCTTATCCCTCCTTGGCTGTATTTGATACATTCTCTCAACATAAACTCAAGATTTCAACATAAAGCCAAGGGATTTGAAGGCTACATCTACACTGTTAAATAACAGAAGGCCATGAGTTTATCCATGGCCCTGAGGCAGATGGCTATGTAGGATGGAGAAGTGTCAGTTTTCCTGGATTGAGTTGAGCATCTTTGGTCATGGTGTAGCTGGGACCAATGCCTGGAGGCATCCAGCTGTGACTCCCGGAGGTTATTCGCTAAGTCCCCTGCATGGACATGGGAAAGGAGTGTTGGTCCTCATTGGCTGGGAGCCAGGCACTGCAGCATGGCAAGTTGAAATGGCTTTGGGACCTCTGGGTTGTAATTCACCCTGTAGCTTTACCCTCAACCGCTCTCTTCCACTCTCTGACCTCTATTCCACTTCAGGTCAACTTGAGAGCACAAGTGTCTTGACTTTTCCCTTTAACATGTGCTAGTCATCAAAAATACTATTTTTCTGCCTTCATTTCCTTTCTTGCCTCCTTTTCTGCCCCCCAGAAGACCCATCATTGGTGTGTGACCTGAGTGCAGAAGCTGCCCTTTTTTTAGTGCATAAAATCCCCCCAACATAAAAAATCCAGGGCAGTCTTGGCAGTCCCCTTCTGCAGCCTCAGGATTTATCTTCCCAGCCCTCTGAAGCAATCCATCTCTCCCCTGCTGGTACAGAGTTCATCTCCCAGACCTAATGGAGAACGTGAGCCCTGAGCTGGCTCCCACTAATGCTCTCGGTGGCCAGGTCGCTGTGGGAAGTGAGCTGGGAATTAATTTTGAAAATCAATGAGGACGCCGATAGAGTGAATTCCCCCAGGGAGTCAACGTGCTTTTACCGGGCAGTGCCTCCTGCTCCCCGTGGCCCCCGTTTTCTTTCATGCAGTCAGAGTAACCACAGTGTAATTAATCCTGCTTTCAATGAGCACTTCTTTTGCATTACACTCTCCAGTTTCCCTGAATCAGACTGATTTGGGGTACAAGATTAAGCTCTCCTGGTAGTGCAGGATTCACTGGACTCCTCAGCATGTTGTGTTTTGAATTTGCTGTGCCTTGAGGTGATGCTGGGGACTCTGTGCAGCCCCCTCTCTCCCCTTGGGCTGTGTTGGCATGAATAATTCAGTGTAGTTTCTAACTCCCACATGTATTTTGGCCTGCTGTGGCTTTTCCATGAAATGGGAAGTGCAGAACCTGCAGGGATAGTGTTGGAGAACTGCTCAGGGCAGTATGACCCCAGTGGTTCACTGTTGTCCCCTTCACGCAGGGATGGGGGCACAACATTAACCTGCCATCCTCACACCATCCTTGGAAGAGTCTTGGCTGAAGCCCAGTGCCGTGAGCAATTCCTGGCTGTGATTCAGGAGGCAGCAGAACTGAGGAGCATTTCTGGAGAGGCACTTTGGGTTCAGCCCCCTTGTTTTTGATAGCAACATGTATATGGGCTCTACCATGCTGGTTGACCTCAAAGCACTTGATTTTAGACTCAGACCTGGGACTTGCAGAGCTCTCAAGACTCCTTCTCCAATGGGGATCAGTCTGCACTGCTATGGGATAAATATTTAATAAAAATGAGGGTCAAGACACTGTTTTGTCCAAGGACACCGAGACAGCCATTTACTCCCATGAAAAGCACCAAGGGATCTTTAATGCCCCTGTAAAGAAGACAGGAGTCGGAGTTTTAAGCTCTCATCCCCCACCATTAATGTCAATGTTAAATATTGATCCTTTCTGTGTTTAGCACAAACCAAACAACAGAGTCGAGCCATGCTCTTTGCCTTTTATTAATGTACTTTTCCTGCATCGGGTGAAGTTTGCAGTTAACGCCAGGAAAAAAAAATGTAGCAGCAGTGAGCGAGTGGCAGACAGATCGATTTTGTATCTTGACACAATTCAGAAGTCAGTGAAAAATCAGCCTGTGCAGAGCATCTCCTTGTCCGAGCCACGACAGCCATTTCACGGAGACCGCCCTCCTCCGCAGCGTAAGAGAATCCCAAAATTTCAGGTGGGGTTTCAAGTCCAAAATTTCTGGGATCTGGGATTTGAGGGAAGGAGTGCAAAAAAGAGGTTGGAAATCTGTAATATCCCACTCATCCCCACACCGGAGTGGGTTCCCTTATGTATGTCTGAAGTCAAATTTGAAGAGCAGGTGGACATTGTGTTGGGGGAAACATGGGAGCAATCCCTAAATCAGTGATTTACCCATCAGGGAAGAATGGCCTTTTTTTAAGGGCTTAGATTTTTTCCTGCATTTTGCATAGCACCAAGTAAATGTAAATCGCAACCAGCACAAAGGATAAGTTCAGTGAACCATGAGGAGTGGTCTTCACATGCCAGCAGTACATGTGAGGCAAGGAGACCACGCAAGGTCTTCTGCATAGTCTTCTGCAGCTAATGACGGATCAACTTTCCCAAAACATTCTGCAGCTTGTGGGTTTTCTGGGGTTTTGTTTTTTTGTTTCTATTCTGTTTTGTTTTGTTTGTAACGGGGGTTTACAGCTTGGCTGTAAAAAGTCAGCCCTGGTTCAAGTTCTTGGAACACATTTATTAGAGGTCTAGAGTAGCCAGGTGATTATACCTCTGGGAGAACCTCCATTGAAGGGAATTTAAGATTTTAAAGTGTATTTCTCCTTGAGCAAGGGGAGCAGACAGCAGGAGTCACACCTTTGGTCTGCATCCCAGTTTACTAGAAGAAAGCAGAAGGAGCTCTTGAGGTCACAAAATTAATAGAGAATTGTGGAACATGGGAATATTTTTCCTCTCTGCTGGCACTATGTCCATCCACATTCCTACTGCGTGCCTCAGTTGACCCAGACGGTCGATGCCCCATCCCTGGAAACACTCAAGGTTGGGTTGGATGGGGCTCTGAGCAACCTGATCTGGTTGAAGATGTCCCTGGTGCAGGGGGGCTGGACTAGATGTCCTTGAAAGGTCCCTTCAAACCCAAACCATTCTGTGTTTCTATGTAAAAGGATAGCAGTGATGCCCTTACACAGAGGGGTGGGGATGACTTAAATCACATCTCTAAAGCCTCCTACAAAAGGTCTCTGAGAAAAGACAGAAGCAAAAATTGTGGCGTGAAAGGTCTTCTTTTCCTTTTCCTTTTTAACCAGATTTTAACAGCCCACTGAGCTCTCTGTGTATTGGCCTGACATCCCCCAGGTATCCACACAAGCCACTAAGCATATGATAAAATATGATAAAATTATGAAATATGGTAAAATCTGGGAATTTTATCAATGCTTATCAATATCTAAAGGTCAAGAGGCTAGGGCCAGGCTCTTTTCGGTAGTATCCAGTGACAGGACAAAGGGCAGCAAGCACAAACTAAAGTGCAGGAAAGCCCATCTGAATATGAGGAAAAGCTTCTTTCCTGTGAGGGTGCCTGAGCCTGGAGCAGGCTGCCCAGGGAGGCTGTGGAGCCTCCTTCTCTGGAGAGACTCAAAACTCTCCTGGACTCATTCCTGTGCAGCTTGCTCCGGGTGATCCTGCTTTAGCAGGAGGGGCTGGATGAGGTGATCTCCAGAGGTCACTTCCAACTCCTACCATGCTGGGATTCCATGAAAATTATACAATATTAATAAAAACTGTAAAATATTTTTTCTCTCTACATAGTACCTATAGGTTGCATGTGCTCCAAGCAGAAGAGCCTGCTGCCGAGTACATCATACAGAGCTTCAAGCAGACCCCACCAACCTCCTTAAATTCTAGAGTATGTGGGTAATGAAGACCTGAGGAACACAGGACATGGGATCCAGCCACTCACAGATGTATTTTTCCCTTCCCAGACACCCTGAGGAGCATCGTCTCCATGAACCATGCACCACGGTCCTCCCCAGCAGAGCTCAGCAGTGCCAGCCACCACCTGCTACGAGAGCGCAAGTCCTCAGCCCCATCCCACTCCAGCCAGCCCACCTTGTTCACCTTCGACTCCCCCACCAGCCACCTCCAGAGCACCTTGTCTGCCAGTGCCCCCCAGGACTACCTTTTCCTCCACCAGTGTATGAGCAGAAAGTCAGAAAATGCAAGGTATGTTAGCCCACCTGGGAGCGAACCTCGGGGACAGCTGAGGGAGGGAGCGGCTCAACCCACCTTTGAGGGTCAAAGACCCTTTGAGGTCTGCAAAAGCCAGCTGGAGAAAGCCCTGAGCGATGGTCTCATCTCATCACGGTTGGGAGGAGCAGGAGGTCAGAGTGTCTATCATCTCCCAAGCTCCTGGCTCTCCTGGCTTTCTGGGTTGTATTCAAACTGGCTGAACGGCTGGACCCTGAGGGTGGTGGCCAGTGACACGATGGCCAGTTGGAGGCCGGTCACTAGTAGTGTACCCTGATGGTCAGTACTGGGTCCAGTCCTGTTTAACACCTTCATTAATGACCAGGGTGGTGGGGCAGAGTGCACTCTCAGCCACTTTGCTGGTGACAGCAAGCTGGGAAGAGTGGCGGAGATACCAGAGGGTGATACTGATACACCAGAGACACCTCAGCAGGCTGGAATGATGGGCCAGCAGGAACCTCATGTAGTTCAACAAGGAGAAGTGTAAAGTTGTGCATCTGGGCAGGAACAACACCAAGCATCAATACAAGCTGGGGGTCACTCAGATGGAGAGCAGCCTGGGAGAAGAGGACCTTGGGGTCCTCATGGACACCAGGTTGAACATGGGTCCCTGCAGCCACAAAAGCAAATGGTATCCTGGGCTGGATCCAGGACTTATCTAGGACAAGTACTGGTGACAGATCAAGGGAGATGATCCTTCCCTTCTACTCAGACCCAGTGAGACCACACCTGAAGTGTTGGGTCCAGTTCTGAGCTCCCCTGTACATGAGACATGGGCAGGTTAGAGAGAGTCTAGCAAAGGGCCATGAAGATGCCGAGGGGACTGAGCTTGTCTCCTAAGGGGAAAGGCTGAGAGAGCTGGAACTGTTCAGAGAAGAGAAGACTTGAGTGGATCTCATCCATGTATATGAATCCCTGAAGAGAAGGTTCAAAGTGGATGGAGTCAGGCTCCTACCAGTGGTGCCCAGTGATAGGACCAGAGGCCATGTGCACAAACTGAAACTCAGGAGGGTCCCTCTGGACATCAGGAAACGCATTCTCACTGTGAGGGTGACCAAACCCTAGCACAGGTTGCCCAGAAAGGTTGTGAAGTCACATCCTTGGAGATACTCCAAAGCCATCTGCACACGGTCCTGGACAGCCAGCTCCAGGTGGCCCTGCTTGAGTGGGGGAGTTAGACCAGAAGAATTCCAGAGGTCCCTTCCAACCTCAACCCCTTTATGATCCTGCAGACAGGCCCTAATTCCTGCCTTTAGTCAGAAAAACCCCCAAGCAAAGGGCTGGGCAGGGCTTTCCATGGTGCACGGTGTGGTATTTCTGTGCAAGCAGCAGCTCTCTGCTTCTGGACCCAGCTGGTTGCCTTAGTGAGAGGGGTTTTCTTTATGCATTAAGAGTTTTGGCTGGTGGGAGCGGTGAGGAGGGAGAGGAGGTTGGAGCCCAGCTGGTGTGGGGTGAGAGCAGGACCTGGGCTGCAGCCTCCGCTGGGCTTTCCTCCCACAGCTGCCCTTCCTACTAAGAACAACAGAAAAATGAACTTCAGATGGAGGGAATGGAGCACTGCTTTGAAAACCTTCTGTGATGCTCCAGCTGTGAAGGTGGTTAAAAACCACCCTCTGAGAGCCCCAGCTTTGGTGGGCAGAGACAAGCTTCTAGCAGCTTCTACAGCTGGGCCAGAACTCAACCCCCAGTCAACACCCAGTACACAGGTCCAGACTGCAGAACTGCTGGGCATCCTTCCCCTCCCAGCTCCAGAGCTCTTACTTTACTCATCCATAAAATGAGGGTAACTGTAGCTAATTGGTGGGCGACGCTGACTAATTAACCCATGAGATGCCTCAAGTCCTCGGCCGACAGGACCCTGCCAGATCCCAGACGTCTCCTGAGCTCCAAAGGCAGCAGGGGTTGGCATGTCCCATCGCAGCACCACTCGTTTTTTTCCCCCAGAAGCCCGATTTCTGAGCGCCATCTCGTGCTGGCTCCATGGAACGGGGTCTTTCTTCTCCCTGTAGAGCCTCAGCCCAGCCGGAGCAACGCACACCAGCGGCACCCAGCTTTTCCCGTAGGGCTGGGACTCCCCCACAAAAGGGATTTGCCACAAGTGGACACCCCGGTCCCCCGAACCATCTCACTTGTTCCCAGGGTGGGGATTGATACAGGGCAGGACTCTCCTCCATCAGGAAGTGTTTAAGTAGAGCTGGCTGAGACCTTTTTGGCTGTGGGCACATGGTCTCCAGAAGCCTGATGCACACATGAAAGACCCAGCCCAAGACTGCCTCTCATGCTCTGATACACATCTCTGAGGCACATCTCTCTCATGTGCATTACCTCTTCATGGCAGGCTAACCCTTTTTTGGGGTTTTGCCATATCTTCCATGCTGCTTCAGGAGGCTTGGAGGAAGGAATTGTCATCACCCACCTTTGGGTCTACCACATCTTGCCCTTATGTCCCAGCACTTCTGCAGCAATGCTCACATTTCCCCAAGTCTCGCAGGGTGGAGAACTGGGGGTTGAGGACAGGGGAGAAAAAAGTCCCAAGTGGCCGATTCAAGCATCCAGTGGTTCAATAAAATGTCATCTGCTGGGGTTACAGGTGCAGAAAGCCAAACTCACGGATCTTATCTTCTGCAGTGTTGGAGCCTTGAAAGAGAAAGCAGTAGGAGAGATAAAAAAGGAGATGAAACGCCTTGAAGGGAGTCAGTGGGGGAGAGGTGGCTAACGAGCAGTCATTAGAGGCCAGGTCTCCCCAGTGCTCGCCCTCCATCCTGACTGATGTCACCAGTCATGACTGCAGTACAACTTGAGGAGCCATTAGGAAGCGACCACACTGCTCTGCTTGCCCTGGGGACCTCAAGGGCTTTTATAAATCTGAATCTGGGTCTGCAAACCCCAAACCCCAGCTGGGGACTGTCCTCAACTCCCCAGGGCTTGTCCTACAAGAGAGCAGGGCGGTGGCATGGCTGGAGGCTTTGAACTAATCCCCATCAGGAATTTTTCCAGTCCCTCTCAAACACGTTTGCAAGCAGAGGTGAGAGTAGGGCTCCCTCCTGCACTGAGCACAGGCAGTGATGGTGACATTGATGGGATGGCTCTTCGCAGATGCATCAGCTGGAACGAAAATGGCTCATTGGGAGCAATTTATGTCTGAATTATTCCTGCCTGTAGGCCCACCATGGGTGCCCATACTTCCCAGCTCATGCCAATGTCATTTTGAAGGAGTTTCAGGCCAGAATGGGTTGCAGGCACATTCGGAGGTTGGGCAATGTGGCTCGGAAAGTTGAGAGATGTGGGGAACAGAACTCGGTGCCTCCAGGGACCGACCGTCTGTCCCCACCTCTCAGCCCCCTTCTCCCCTTCCTCCGCAGGAGCGCCAGCTTCTCCCAGGCCACGAGGTCTGCCTTCTTCATGCGGAGCGACACGGCGGTGCAGAAGCTCTCGCAGGGCAACGGGCACTGCGTGAACGGGGTCGGGGGGCAGCTCCACGGCTTTTACAGCCT